TCTATTCACCAAGACATATCTGTTTTGACAAGGCTCCCAGCTGGTTTCTGTCTCAGAGTTTTCTTTAAAGACAATGAGAGTTTCAAACTTGTTTTCATCCTGAATGAATCAAATCCTAATCTCTCTATGCATAAAAAAATAATTGAACTACAAACTCAAGAAGCAGTTTTCATACTCTATCCTCCTGATTAATATCCAGTAGACATTTTAGGGATTAGAAAGCTAATATATCATATTAGAGGCTAAAATGTAAAATCTTCTAACGTGGTATAAAATACATGAGTCTGAAAATCTTTTGGGCTTGAAAATTTTCCAAACTAGCCCAGTGCCATTCCATATGGTTATAATTATAGCCAAACTTCTCGACAAACAGCCTTAAAAAAAGGTTTGCCCCCAAATTTTCAGCACCAGACATTCATGGTCTTCCCAGACTCCAGTGCCCACATGGTGGTCCTCTATTGCCCACTCCTCCACTACACAATATGCACCAGCCTCCTTGGTTACCAGTAAAAAATGGGGAATGGCTAAGAGCTTTGGCCATGGAATCAGACCATCTCAGAAATCAAGTTTGTGATGTTGGGCAAATTACTAGCTCTGTGATTCAACTTCCCCATATTTATTGACTTATTTTTAAGATTTTTATATATTTTTAGACAGAGGGGAAGGGAAGGAGAAAGAGAAGGAGAGAAATATCAGTGTGCAGTTGCCTCTTATGTGCCCCCCACCAGGGACCTGGCCCACAACCCAGGCATGTGCCCTGACTGGGAATCAAACCTGCAACCCTTTGGTTCACAGGACAGAGCTCAATCCACTGAGCTACACCAGCCAGGGCAACTTCCCCATATTTAAAATAGAGATAGTTAGAATATCTTGTTCCATCGGATTGTGATCAGGATTAAAGAAGGCAGTATACATAAAGTGTTTATAGTGCAGGAAATGGCATTTAGAGCTCTGTAAGTACTGTTTTTTTAAAACATCTTTTTCACTGGGAGAGAGTTAGTCTAGTAGCTAGACCTGTATCCAGTATTGCTGTATAGGAAATAGATCAAGTTCCCCCAGGAACACAAACTATGGTAAAAACAAAATGGTCTGACCTAGTATGAATATTTTTCTTTTGGCTTTGCAGTGAGCCTGGTGCCTTTGGACCTAGATTCTAAGTATGTACCTAAGTACATAACTGATATAAAGTGACCCAAACAGCCAGGAACTCTAGGCTTCTCTTCCATGGTTGGGAAGACTGCTGATCTATAGAGGAATGGTTTGCAATGTGGGAGTGTATTCTGGGCTGGCCAGATCCTGTGGGAGCTGAGCTGACAGACCTCAGGCTTCCCTCTCAAGTCTTCCTGCAGTTGTACCAGGAATGCTACCTTCTTCCACCCCAGCTGATAGCCCAACTCCCCTTTAGTCTAAGGACACGTCCTCGCTGGGAATACAATAAACACTAACTGCTTCATTTATAAAAATGAATAAGGGCATCTTTCCAGGGTCTAAAGGAAAATACCCCTTTCCAGACATAAAAACAGAAATAGCAAAGAATAATTCTTAAGAGCTCAATTCAGGATTCAGACATGCTCTGGGTTTGAATCTTGGCTTCTGTACTTTTCAGCTGTGTGACCTTCACCATGTTGTTTATCCTTCGGAGCCTCTATTTCCATATCTGGAGGAAGGGTTAATAAGTGTCTACCACATGGGGTTATTGTGAGGGATAAATAAGATACTGTATGTTATATAATTGGATGACTGCTTGGTGTATAATAAGTGTTTCATAATGATAGCTAGTAGCTCGGTATACTTAGTAAATGGATTTTGTTGTTCCCTCACATGTTCTTTACATTTTGGGGGGATTTCACATTCACAGAGAAATCCAAGTTCATGTGTCACCAATGGGTTTCCTTACCCAAGTACATGTAGAGCAATAGCCTGTTTAGCTTAGGGCAAAGGTGGAGTTAAAGAAAGAAGAACAGAACAACCTAATTGTGCAGGTTGATGAAATTATTCCTAGCTCAAAGATTTTCAAACTAGGCTCCCGATAGCCTCTCAGATAAGCACTTATTACTACTGTCTTAGGACTTTTGTCCAAGAGTCAATTAAATTCAACAATCATTTGAGTCATTGTTTCATGTCGGGCACTCTGCTAAGCAATAGAGACTTGGGGATGTATAAGACACATCTTTTTTTGCTCAAGGAAATAACACTTTAGTTATTGCCCTTTTGCCTATAAAATCTCCTCAAATTATCTTCTCTACTCTATCTTTTTTCACATCTGTTAAGACGCTTCTTAATCTAGTTCTGGGTGAGAACCTCTCTCTTTTTATGTTTTCCACCATTCACTTACTTTTGCCTTCCTTCATCTCTTACACACTCAATCATAGCGTGCATTTTCAATGTGCTCTGTTTAATGCACATGGACTTGATCTCCCCGATTAGATTATAAGGAGCTCTAGGGCATGAGTCTTCTATTAGTTCATTTTATAATCCTACAGCACTTGCCATTCCCTTATTTCTACTTTAGTGCAACAATGATGATTGTGAATGAAGTTTTATAAGCTCGTATGAAATATAGTTTCACTTATCCCTCTAAGTCAACTGTGTATGAGACAGATAAAATTGGGGCAATTGCTACTTTCCTGCAGCACATCACCTGATTCGCTTAGGAAATTTCCTTTCTCTTTTTGCTTTCTAATTCTGTTTCTTCCATGGTGGTGACATTGAACACCAGATCACTAAATTCTGGGTAGAAAATGCCATTTCTATTTTTGCATTTGGTTTTCATAAAACGTGAATCACTACCATCCACTTGGAAACTCCTCTAAAAAAGGACAAGGCAGCTGCTCAGCACATTTGTAACTCAACAACCACGCAGGAGTGGAAGCAGAAAGGATTTGGCCCCCGTGTCATCCTGAAGGGGAAGCTGGCATCTTATTCTAGCTTAAATGTAGGATAGTGCCCGGTAACTCTGCCAGGATTCTCTCATTTTAGAAAAATATCCCGATTTCTCTGAAGTCACATATTTGGAATCTCTTTTCACCATAGAGCCATCCATGAGGTTGTGGACAAGTCAGCAGTAACAATCTCTCAAGTTATACTTTTTATATCTGAACACTCCCATTTCTTCATAGACTTAGAAAAATGTTAAAGAAAGACACAAACCAACCTTAGCACACAGGAAAATATCCTCTGCCCTTGAAAATCTGCTCATATGTTGGGGTGGGTGAGCAAAACTCAGGCAGGAAGAAAGCAGTTGTGCTCGAGTGTGTGAGTGTGCACATTTGTGTATGAATCAGAACCTTTTCAAAGGGAGGAAAATGCTTAATGCTCTCAGTCAAACTGGTGAAAGAGGTAACAGACGCTGAGCTATTTATAGATCTTAAATTGGCATGTACTGTACATATTGAGTACTTTGCTGATCTAATTTTTTAGAGCACTTGGGATGAAGGACAGGCAAAGAAAGGATAATAAGAGATTCAGATCAGGACTATAGTTTTTAAAATAACATTGCTTTTCCTATAACTGTAGATGCCTAGAAAACCTTCCACAATCAGAGAATTAAACAAAATGGGAGTCTATTTTTAAAACAGGATGGAGACAATTATCACTGAAGTCTGGGTGTAGGGGTGAAGAGGATTATCTGAATACTGTACTGATTTTATTTGATTTCAAGGGTGTTCTCCAGTGTCACTATTGCACAGGCGCCAAAAATGTCTCTGCGCCACCACATGGACCATCAGGTCATCCAGAGAAACTGGTTCGTGGGGCACGGAGAAACAATAAGCCTTCAAAAAGAACTCTGGAGAAATGACACAGAAGCATATCCAGCCTCTCTGACCTGCTCTCCTTTCCATGGGGAGAAGGTTAAGCCCTCTGCCAAAGACAGCAGAAGAAACTCTCTCCCTCTGAAGTGAGGACGGTAATGCGCCATTAAGGAGGAGGAGGTATTTTCTAGAAATGAAGCCCTATTTGGGCCCCCTGCTGGATGGAGTACAGGCAGGGGCTGGAGTGGCCTGCACAGGCACCCTCAGGGACACCCAGCTCCCCAGTTTTAAAGCCTCTTGGCTGGGACGAATTTTACCCATCTTTTTTTTTTTTAATTAATTATTTTTAATTTTTTTTTACATTTTTATTTATTTTTAGAGAGACAGGAAAGGAAGGAGAAAGAGAGGGAGAGAAACATTTAAGTGTAGTTGCATTTCACATGTCCCCTACTGGGGACCTGGCCTGCAACCGAGGCACTTGCCCTGACTGGGAATAGAACTGGTGACCCTTTGGTTTACAGGCCCATGCCTGATCCACTGAGCCACACCAGGCAGGGGGCCATCAGTGCTTACTTGACTCCACATTCTAGTTACTCCCAGTTCCGTTTGAGAACCTCACAGGGTTAAGAGACAGGGGGACTTCACTAGGCAACTAGAGAAAGTGCAAACTAAACATTTACAGAAAGGCACAGTCTGTCTCTTCTTCCATAATGTGTTTCCTCATCTGTGAAATGGGAGTAAGAGCCCTGACACATTTATTTCACTAAGAGCTGCCTAAAGTGGAAGAGCTATAGAAAGGCAAGGTAGTATTATGGCTATTGTAGCTATTTTTATTATTATGCGTCTCTGTAGGGCCATAGTTTCATATAACATAAAACAACAAATATCTACTAAACATGTCTCAAAAGCTAGTCTAGAGTCTGGGAGGAGATGGCTGCATGAAAACTTATTAAAACTTGAGGTTCCCCAGCCCCTCAAGCCTACTGAATCAGAACCTTCAAGTGGGGAGCAGAAAATGCTGACCTTCAGCCAGGTGTGTGATCCCTATTTGCTCATTCTATGAACACTGGACAAAATTGTTCAGCTTGGTTTAAACAACACTTGACCAGCAGCAGGTGGGCTACAGCATTACAGTACAGGTGACTGGCAAACATTTTCTAAGGGAATAGGAAGCAAAAACAGTACTTTAGAGGGGTTAAGTTTCCACAGAAGGACCACCAAGAGGGGGAAAGAAGGAATTGCACTCACCCACAATGATACCGCAGGCACTGACCAATCCAATCTCCTTCTTCAGGGCTACTCCGCCCTCTCCCTCTTCGGGCCCAGCTTCTGACTCGCTCCCACCTGGGTGGTTCTTTTCCGTGCTGTTTCGGTGCCTGGCTTCTTTTTCCATCTTAATAGAATTTCAACCTCCGAAAGATATCTTTCTAAATGCGAATGGGTGTGAATATATTTACAGAACAAGCCTTTCAAATTAAAATGTCTTCTCCCGAAATAAGGACCACTCCTACCCTCTTAAAAAAACACACAGGCAGATAAAAGAGAAAACTGAAAATATTTCTACTTTGTATTGACACTTTCTTGTCACTCGTGCTTACAACCCAGGAAAATGTTAACGGGAGGGGGGGAAGAGACACAGATATTTAAATACGAAAATATAACTGTACCGGCTACTCCGGCTGGAATTTTCCTGGAGAGATGTTGATCTTCAGAAAACAGGAGGGTTCTGCAGTGTTCAGGCAGCGGCTGATTTCAGACGCTTCAAAAAGGGAGAGTCTGGATTTCCCTCGGCTCGCCCCCTAAGAAAACAGATTTTTACCGCCCCTCAGCTTTTTCTTTTAGGAGGATAAAAGTACTTTTCGTTAACTGGAGGGGCGGAAAGGCAACCCTCCAGCCCTTCTTTTGCAGAAAAACAACTGTAGATCCGACCGGTTTGCTCTGGATCTTGTTTCCACCTGGTGTGGGTTTCTTTTCCTTTCCTCGTGTTCTCCCTTCCGACTTTTCCAGATGTCCTTTTCTGTCTCTCTTGTCCTGTCCTTATTTTCTCTCTTCCAGTCTCCGTGCTCACTGCACAGACCGCCCCATCTCTCTGGTTTTTCGGAGAATGCTCTGGCACAGCAAAACGTGCTTCCCTTTTCGCCTGTGCTTTTATATGCTGAGCTAGCTCCGCCCTCACTCCGTTCATTCCTCTCCCATCCTGGCTAGTCCCCTCCCTCTTTGATTTAATATTAGCGCTCAGCCTTCAAAGATCACAGAGAAGGTAAGTTAAAATATTTCTCCTCGTAATCGTCTCTTTTCCTCCATGTCAACTGTTCCGGGAGAGTTGATTAGCTAGTAGAGCGTTACAGGTTTTACAGCTTTATAAATGAGGAACTAACTAGTGCAGATACTTTCATGCAATCAGAAAGACGCTGGCGAATGCACTAAAATATTTATGTCTGGATCGTTTGAGGATACTAGAGAGAAGGTTGTAAGGTCATCATCTTCAAGTTTCTGAAAGGAGGAGAAGATCCACCTGTGGGGGTGGGAAATGGAAAGAATGAAGAATAATAGGCCCTGGCTGGTGTAGCTCAGTGGATGAATTGTGGGCCTGTGAACTGGGGGATGGCCAGTTGGATTCCCAATCAGGGCACATGCCTGGATTTCGGGCTGGGTCCCCAGTGGGGGGGGCCCACAAGAGATAACCACACATTGATGTTTCTCTCCCTCTTTCTCCTTCTCTTCCCCTCTGTAAAAATAAATTTTTTTAAATCTTAAAAGAAAAAAAGAATGGAAAATAGGTTCATTATAACCTTGAACTGTGAAGAGTATAGTAGAAAGAAGCTCTCCAGGAGGAGGCAATGGCTTCACTGCTGGCAGCTCTTATTTAGTGTTAGCTGAGACAGGAAAAAAATGGCTCCCCCCCTGCTTCCAGGAAAGAATGACACAAAATCTAGTGGAATGGGGCCTTTCACAGTTTTTAATATTTTTTGCATCTATAAATTATTTGAAAGGCAGACTGAGGAGGGGTAGGAAGTTATCAGCACCTCTCTGATCATAAAGCAGATTGTTGATGTTAAGAGAAGACTAACTTATGACCAAATGATATTGTCTCTTGGCTTCCCTGAAGAATTTCACCCAGAAACTGCTGCCTGAAGCATGAGAGCAATGATGTCTATTTATAATTGCAAAGTACTTTGGAAAAACAGCAAAAAGCAATATAGCAGACAACAAGATAAACCTAAAATAAAATTATTTTGAATGTGTATTAAGTACATTACTCAAAAGTATTTGATTTTAAAGCAGGTCTAAAAACCAAAGTTCCCCAACCTAACCACTAAGTACAGAAATTTGGCCTCACTTTTTGGGAACATGTTCCAAAAGATTTTGACTTTTTTTTAATCTTCACCCTCGAATATGTTTATTGATTTTAGAGAGCGAGAAAGAAACACCAATCTGTTGCCTCCCATACACACCTGATCACAGAGATCAAATCTTATACCCCGACCAAGAACTGAACCTACAACCTTTTGGCATTTGGGGCAACACAATAACCAAGTAAGCCACCTGGCCAGGGCAGAGATTTTGACTTTTAAGGAAAATAAATACTCCTTTAAAATGGGGATATTTGAGCTAAAGTGCATTTAATCATCAATCTTTTCTACTTTGTTCTTTGATCCACTCAGGAGGTGTGAAGAGATTTCAAAGGTTGAGAGTTCAACCTCTTCTTCTGTGCCAGTTCAAGATATTGTAAATTGAACACCTCAGCAAAGAAAAAAAGAGGGTGTGGTGATATAAAAAGGATTTTTAACAAAAAGAACAGACAAGGAAGAGAATATATAGCACAAAACTCCATAGGTGGGATGAGTTATGGGAAGTGAAATATTTTGAATTGCCTCTGGCCTTTCCTGACAACATTGGAAAGCACTGGGAGAAAAATTAGTGGATTCATTTTTAAACAATATGATTTGAGGACTTCTGATCAAATTTCAGCATCAAGGTATAAAACAAATCTTCCTGTTTTTCCAACATAAGTTCTTTTGGTTATGTTTGCACTCTAATTTAAATTATGTAGAATTATGAGATAAAACATGAATGCAATAAATAGTAGGTCTGTTGCCAAAATGAGTGCAAACTGACTACAATATGATAAACTTTAGCCATTTTAATTTATGAATTTAAAAGTTAAAAAGGGTGGGGTGTGTGCAGTCAAATATATTCTTGGGATATCATGGTACGAAGCACACCAAATTGGAAAGGAAGTGTTGGTGAAGATTAATATTTCTATTTCTTTAGTATTTAACTATAACTGTGTATTAGTAGTACAGTGTAAAAGCTAGGAAAAACTCTCCTCCCATTCCTTCAAAAGGACCATTTATTTATATTACATGGTTCTCTTCAGGTTGGGATACTTTGTTAAATAAACCCTAAGTGTGTTAAAATTCCATGACTAACATTGAACATAGGAGAGAAAAATTTGTTGGTGTGGTATGTTAAGAAAAATCTACAGAAATAATTAATTGAAATTTCTTAAATTTTGAGCACTGAATATTTTTTATTTATAATTCTATTCTGCATTTGGCTTTATATATATTATTTTACTTTCTACATTTAAATAGTGCTTTACCATCTACAGATTGTTTTGTGGACGACATCTCAATTCTTTCCCTCCTCATTGAACACTTTGGGTAGACAAGACAGTTATTCTTTCGTATTATAAATATCAGACAGCCAGGCTTAGAGAAGTCTCTTACCTGAAGCTGAAGACAAGACACTTAACTTATTCATGGACGAGGTGGATATCGATGGTTTACACCGAGAACTTTTCTCAAGACACTATAGCTCTTTGCAGATGCCTCAACTTCCTTTGCCTGAAGAAAATAGAAGACCCTTGGATAAGATCATATCCATCTCTTCTTGAGTTGGTGTCATAACTGTGTCTTTTAGAGACCCATCCTGAAGCCAACACTTAACATCTGTTCAGTGTGACCTATAGGACTTAATCTGCCTTTTCCAGTCCTCCACCTCAACATTTGGTTAGGTCATTTTTCAAGTACGTTAGTACAACTCCATCTCCAATATGTGGGTGACTGTTTCCTATTGCTGTGCATGTTTAAGATGGGAAGAAAAAGAAATTGGTTCCTTTAACCAAGGAAAGGTAAGAGGGTCATTTCCTTATGCAGGTGCATTTAGGAAGAGAAAGGCTGTGTGAGGCTGACACCTACTGCACAAAGAGGAATACGGGATGGGACGTGCTACTTGTATACTAGTTAAACAAAAACACAGTCATGTTCCAATATATTCTGTTTTTGAAATAACTGGTAAGAAATATCTCTTAATGCAAAGAACTAGAGCACAAAGCTCATTCACCCCGCTCTTCATTTTTTTTTTCTGGACCCAATAAAGAAGTGCTTTATTCTTGTTCTTTGTAACAGCTGTGAAATCTGAGGTCACTAATAGAGGACCCAAATTTTTTGCTGGAAAAAAGTCACAGTCACAATCTATGCTCCCACTCCACTCTTCTTCTTGCACCTATGTGTGCAGAGTCAAAAGGAAACCCTGACTTCAATTAAAACCAGCTCTTTTCCTAGAGTCCCAGTAATCACTGCCTATGATTGAACAGTGGCTTCCTGAGCTAGTGGTTCTCTGGGAGCCTTTATTTTGTTAAAAATGGAAAGTAGACAAAAATTAGTGAGCAAAGATGAAGGAAGAAAATAGAAATTGCCAAAACAGGTCAGAATGAAAGAAGGTAAGAGAAAATGTGGAGATGCAACCAGTTAATAAATTCTTTTTAGTGTATGCTGTTTGCCTTTCAGACATATTCATAAGTTCAAAGGGAGTTGTATCTTTTAGGGTTTATGCAGTCCTGAGAATTTGGATGAGGTGAACTTGTTTTGTTGTGATGGTCAATAAATTCATGCTCTTCTGAAGATAATGATGAATCCTTGCTCTGACACTAGAAACAAAAATTCCAGCAAATTACTCTTCTGTCTGCTGCACATGGTTGGATTCCATGGGGCCAGCCCAGCACTAGTGGGAACAAAATAAAGATGCATTTCCTAAGGCAGGCTGCATGTTCTTAACTCTTTGGCTGAGACCAGTCTTTCATGGAGCCTTGGTGTTATCTAAGGATTTAGGTGACTCCAGTTCTGAGTGCTTAAATATGGAAACTTTCATTTCTTAATTGGTTTTTACTGAGGATTACTCTCTACCAAAGATCAGGGCTCTTATTTATTTAATTTTAAAAACTTAGAGTAGAAAGAGTAAAATGAGGAATCTTTATTGATAGCTAAAAAAACAATATGCTGTTGCTTCTGACAATGCAGTATATATTGAGAAATCACAGCTGCTTTTAAATCTAACACAATACAAAAGCAACTAGGCACCCAACAAATGCCTTTTATCATAATCAACTACAAAAATGAACATTGTAAAAAGATATGCCTTCCTCTTCCAGACTATGGCTAATACACCAAAAAATAAAATATTGTCCCCATAGTTAATAAAAAGTGTTTGCTTTGGGGGCTATAAAATAATAATATACCTTGAGTTCTGGCCAAGATGGAGATGTAGGTAGAAATGTTTTGCTTCCTTACACAACCAAAAGAAGGATAACAACCAATTTACAAACAATAAATAACCCGAAGTGCCTGAAAATCAAACTGCATGGAACTCTGACAACCAAGGAGTTAAAGAAACATTCATCTAGACCTGTTGGAGGGGTGGAGATGAAAGACAGGTGGGCAGAGAGGACACATGGCAAGGCAGTGGATCATGGCGGTGAGGAGGGGCTGGCTGAATGGGAAACTAAATGCTCAAGGCTAGCTGTAAAATACTGTGGGGGTTGTGATGGTGGGAGAAACTCCCAGTCTCACAGGAGAGTTTGTTGGAAAGTGGGGCTAGAGTGGAGCAAACGAGCAACATTGTTCCCTCTTAGACCCTTCCCCCACATACAGCACTACAACACAGCAAAGAGGGTTGCCCCACCCCCAGTGAATACCTGAGGCTCCGCACCCTTATAACAGGTAGACAAAGAAATGTGGCCCAAATGAAAGAACAGATCAAAATCCCAGAAAAAGAGCTAAGTGACAAGGAGATAGACAACCTATCTGATGCAGAGTTCAAAACACTGGTAATTAAGATGCTCACAGAACTGATTGAGCTTGGTCACAAAATGAAGGAAGAAATGAAAGCTACTCAAAGTGAAATAAAGCAAAATATACAGGGACCCAACAGTGAAGGGAAGAAAACCAGTACTCAAATCAATGATTTAAAACAAAA